TGGTTGAGGCGGTTAGCAGGGGCTGCTTTCATCATATCATACGCAGCAAGTTTATACGAAGTTAATACGAAGTTTTACTTAAATTTCGCAAAATGTGCAGTGGTTTACGAACTTTTAACGCCAGAACAAAAGACCCAAGCAGAAGTTTTACCATGTAAGTGTTCATGATGTAAAATATTAATCCCGCCTCAGTGTTTTTATTAAACTAGTGGTGTGTTTATGTTGAACTGCGAGTGATGCGGAAGTAAACATGTTTTCGATGAAAGCTGATTATGATAATAACGGTGATTATGATTTTAATTAATGCTGTTATTAATATAATGAGTAGACGGTTTTTTGTTTTTTTGCAGGAAAAATAATTTCATAAACGTTTTATTTGTGTCAGTTGAGTTTGATGGATCATTTTGAGTAGGCTACGAGACTGAAATAATTTATTAAACCAAATATTCAGATTCTAGTTTGATGTTTCTTCTTATTTTTGACCATGTTCAAGATCTAAATTTGTCGGATCTTTAAATAAAATTGAAAGTGAAAGTTGTCAGAACGGTGTGTAAACAATCGCACGACGAAAGAGAATCAATGGAAATCAGTGAATAATGATAAAACTCAGAAAACCAGAGAATATTAATACACGTACAGTCAGAGAGTAACTCCAGGAATATGAACATGACTCAGACAAAGGGAACTAATGAGGTAATTAATGAACAAAGATGGAAAGGAATGAACTTAATACAGGAAAACTAGGTCACAGAGAGCAGAACTGAAAACCATGACTGAAAACACAGAAGAGACTAGACGTGTTACAGCAGTCAGGTATATATTATGTTGTTGCTAGTATTTGATCGCTGTATTAAACTATTTGTAATGTGTGTCTGTATCTGTCACATAACTGCTGTCTGCATTCTCATCAGGTTAAACTGGTTAAATCTTCTTCTGCTGCTGTGCTTTGCAAATCATTGTGGTCAGTATCATTTGTTTATTACTATTATTTTAACATTTCATTTCATTTCATTCACTCAGAGTTATTCTAGTCAATTGTTTCTCTGTTGCGTCACACAGTTAGTCATTTTACTGGACTCTTGTGGATTGATGGAAGAATTTCCTCAGCATTATCACACCATGACAGCGCTGAGCTATCTGTGCAGCCCGTCTATTATTAAACATTGTTTGGTCAGGGATGTTCAGGAATTCACTATAACTGCTCTGACGCATGTGCTCTAGCTTTGTATTGCCATGAATGAGGGTTATTTGTGAGTTCAGAAAGACCAACAATACACAAAACTGACTTACAAGATGAACATTTCTGAACTCTGACAAAAGTAAGAATAATCAGCTGGAATATACACGCAATCTCATACAGTAGTGGTTTTGGATACTGCATACTTTAATTTTCACAAATAATAGATCATGGCCCAAACCAGTAACCTTAAACTTTAATCTTTAAGGCATTTCTGATGATAATTATTGGAGAAACTGCCATCAGTTCACAGTTGTGGAATCACTAGAATATGTGGTGAAATGTCTTGAGCAAAAAGAAAAGCTGACTAAAATAACTCTTAACAGAGAATAAACAGTATTTAATACCATACATGTATTTTTTTAATTAATACTTTATATTGAATGATTCTGTATTTGCAGGAACCTCCGCTATATCTGTGTCAGGAAAAAAGGGAGGAAACATCACACTATCATGTGAATTTGAGTCCAGAGAGATTTCTGATATTAGTTTAATCAGTCGATCAGAAAACATCCCTGTCTGTGAGACTGAAGAATGCAGTGGACGAGTATTTAAACAAGGAAACTGTGACATCTTCATCAAGAATCTGAGCTTCAGTGATGCTGGGAAATACTTTATGAGAGTCTATTACCACAATAATCAGACAGAGCTGGAGCGACTGATCAAGACGTACCAACTTCATATTCAGGGTAAATTAAAAAAAACGTGTTTTCTGGTTTTCCTTTAGTAATCGTGTGGTATTGCATGTAACCAGAAGAGACTCTGAATGGAACAGGCTTAATATTCAGATTAGTGTGCTTATGGCATTGATTGTTTGAAAGCATCATAATAATGATTAATGTATTTGTGTTTCTCCTCAGATGAGGTTTCTGTGAAAACAGGTGAGGAGCTGAAGTTGGATGTTCTGTTGTCAAACGCTGATAAAGTGCAGCATCAGAGCAGAAGAAGCACAGAGTGGATGAAGGATTGGAGCAGAACTGATGGAGTTCAGAGTGAACGGATCACCATTAGTGATGGAAACCTGATCATTAGTAATTTCACAGCCAGAGACGCAGGAACATACAGAGTTCTGGACCCTGATGGAGAAATCTTGATCACAGTGACAGTCACAGGTGAGAAGATCAATAGATATGTAGAAAATAAAGTGCACAGCTGAGGTTTATTCATCATGATTTTAACAGCAAATTGATGCTAAACTTTGTGACTAACCTCTCAATATCCTCTACAGAATCAAAGTATCCTAGTACAGAATCAAAGAAAAAACTGGACAGCACAGATAAAGACAAAACTGATGAGACGGAGCAAGTTCGTAAGTAAAACTGGATGCATTGAGAGCGTTATAAAATTTTTAAGCAGCGAGTTTTAAAAAACATTTTAAAAAATTGTGCTCTCTTCCCATCTTCCCTTTTCCAGCTGTAATCTACTGGATTATGAGTGCTGGACTGCTTGTGTATGCAGCTCTGCTGGTTTCTACTCTGGTTACGCTTACCATCCAGAAACACACCGATTTCTAAAAGCAGGACATGTTTGGCACCAAGGGGTCAAAGTGCAATGAATTTCACAGATGATGTCATGTAGCAACATCACTGTAAGTTTGCCTTCAATGCTAAAAGATGATTCTGTCAATATATGTAATGAACTATACATATGAACATTTGGGCTGCTCTACATGAGAATGTTGACTGTATCTGCATGTAATTCATTCTTGGGGGGTTCTTTTATTTTGCATTAATGCTCTCAGTCAGTCACGATATAAAGGGAGCGCTCTTTGCTCACTTTCTCTATACAATCCGTTCACAATTTAAAGAAAAGTTTTTGTTTATGTAGAGGACCAATGTTCATGTACAAGTTGCTAAGTTGCAGAAGTGACAAATGCATTAATTACGCGAGTGAATCTTTTAAATTGTTGCGTGAGTCAGTCCTGAAATTGCTGTAGTGGACCAGGAGTGTTTCTAGCTTTTGAAAACATCAGGGGCTAATGCTGAGGACATATGCACATATTTATAGAGCACAACAGCGCTAAAGACACATCTTAAGACAAATGTGCTTCATGTATGACTGCAGAAAAAATAGTGTTTTTATTAAACATTGATAAGTTTATTAAAAGTTCATTTTGATGCATCACATGCTGAGCTACATGGCTAAATCAGTATGGAACTCTTTCAGGCACTGATATTGTATTTCTGAAATACAGCTTATTTGATCTATTTCTTATTGCACTACGTTGATGAGCAGGAATAGTTTAATGTAGCACTTTATTTAAAAAACTTTTTTTTTTTTTTTTTAATTCCTTCTGTTTTATCACTTGTAAAGTCCGGGGTTTTGAAATGATTGTTTTGTAGAACAATACTGTATCACGCTCTTGAAATAAAACGGAGAGGTGTTGTTTAACATATTTAGATATATTTACAATGACATGATGAAGTGTATTCATCGTTGTCTGTAGAGAGTTTTTTCATGTCCACTGTTGCTTTTGACTGCTTCATCAGGGATTTGCATTATTCTTTGTAAATCTGCTTTGTACTGAGAAAAATGAAACAAACTGAACCTCTTTTGTATGAAACGTTTTTGTTGATATTGTTTTGTTGTATGTACTTTTGTATGTGTAAGATTTGCATGCCCACATGAGAAATGCTCGTCTAGCTGTATTATACACATCATATACTTTTAGCAGTATTATGCACATATAAGCTAAGTTTAAGAGAAAATAATGCCAACCGTTTTATGGCACATAAAGTTTGATTAAACAAAATGTTTTGAATGTAAAATGTGTTGTTGAGAGTTCTGATTAAATAAACAGCAGTAAAACTAAGAAATCACTCATGTTGTGCATTTTCTGATCATTACCAATGCTTAACCTTAAACCATAACCACCAGGCTAAGAATAGGACATCATGATTTGGATAGAACACTTCACATTAGCAGAAGAATCCAAGAGGATTTTACGACCATTGTCAAATATCAGAAACAGTAGAACATGTGCCTGATACGAGGCTTCGAATCTTGTGTTGAGAATGTCAGGAGGCCTACTTTCAGACGGAGCTCCATATCGAGGCTTGTTTCATTTTAGTGAAGTGACGTTTGAAGTCTTCTAAATTTTCTTAAAGATAAAGGGTCAGAGCACAGTATATAGGTTTCTCTCTCTCTTTCTCTCTCTTTTTTTGGTTTGCCAACCACCATTAACGTCAAAGAAGAAGACGTGAACTCTCTCGGCCACCGTAAACATCCAAACTACCGCTTAAAGAACACCTGTGTGTTTACCTGTCACCACTTCATAGACTTCCAGTGATTTACGCCATTTTGACCATCAGCTCAGAAGACTCATGCGGAAGTTTTACCGTGTAAGTTTGCATGCTATTAAATATAAGATTGTGTGTTTTTGTGCTATCATACGAATAGTTGTGTTTCTGTTTGTGTAAAACTAAACCTGCTTGTGATGAGGAAATGAGTCAACATATTTATGCTGAATATCTCCTTCTGCGATTATGATGATAAAGACTATTGTTTGGCAGCAAGAGAAAGAATGTCATAAACTTTTGTGTCCATTGGACATTGGGATCATTTTGAGTCTTGAGGATTACACTGGAATCATTTATACAACTAAAGATTCAGATTATAGTTTCTTATTCTTACATTGTCATGTTCAGACAAAATGAAAGATAATTTTTAGTAATATTTTTCCGCTCAGCAAAGTGTTTTGTCGCTGTATAAATGTCTTTGTGATGTGTATCTGTATCTGTCACATAACAGCCGTCTGTATTTTCATCAGGTTCAGATGCTTCAGTCTTCTGCTGCTGTTTTGTTTTGTCTATCGTAGCAGTCAGTATCATCTTTGTTAATGAACTGAATCTTTTTTTCAGAGTTATTAAATCTAATTAATTGTTTATCTGTTGCACCACTCAGCCAAGTGATTTTTGATCAGCAGCGGCTCGTCTCTATGGTCAGGGGGCCGTTTCAGAAAGGAGCTTAAGTGAAAACTCTGAGTAAGTTAACCCTGAAATGAGGGAAACTCTGGGTGGGTCGTTTCAGAATGAGAGGTTTGTCAAACCCGAGAAAGCAAGGTAAGTCAAGCCCGTTTCTGAAAGAGAGGTAACTTATGCTCAGATACAGTTACTGTGGTAACTTACTCTATGAACCTAACCTGGTTTTCTTCGGTAAACCCAGAGTTTCTTACGGTCTCCTCCCCCTTCAGCGTAAGTGATGTTTAAATACCTCATTCATTCATTCATTCATTCATTCATTCATTCACGCTGCAAGATTTTTTGTCTTATTTCAAGTACAAATATCTAAAAATTCTTTAGTTTAACATGCATTTTCTATGATATAAGATATTTAGTCAAGTGCATTTAAGTGCATTTTACATTGGCAGATAATTTGCAAAATAAGAAAAATGCACTTAAAAATGTTTTCCCCATGGAAACAAGACTAAATACCTTGTCATTTTTTTTGTTTGTTTTTTGTAGAAAATGCATCTTGATTTAAGAATCTTTAGATATTTCGACTGGAAACAAGAAGACAAATTCTAAGTAAGAAAAGCATTTTTTTGCAGTGCAGGTACATTTATTTATTGTGCATATGTTCATCATGCAGACACGGTCAAAGTGACAAAAATGGCATCTCCTTTTATACAGGATCCCGTAGACGAGGAGGCTGCATAAATTCGTAGGGATTATTTTTTATTTTTTGCCATATTCACACATGCATATTTTTTTGAGCGGTACTATTTTAAATGGTAGTTTTCTTTAAAACAGAGCACATTAGTACGGCCGCTGTATGCAGACCGATAAGAAAAGTGTGCATCGCTCTTACACTCATTCTGAGAATTTTTTCTGGGCAGAAATCTGTCAAAGAGGAGTATCACTGGACTGTAGGTCAGTGGTGTAGAAATCACAGCTGTTAAATAAGTTATTCACAATTTATTTGGTCATCTTTATTTCCTACAAATACAAAAGCAACAATTCTTATTCCTTTTGGATTTTAGAATTCTTCCAGTAATTGACCATCTCCTCTTCATCTGTCAGTGATGCTGGTGCAAGTTCTCCCCCCTTTTTACGAGCATTTGCCTTCTTGCTGTAAACTGAGTACAAGTCAGTAGTTAATTTTATTACTCGAATTAAGAAATGTAACAGGTTGGATTAGAGAACATTTAATAAGCCTATGAGAAAAAAGCGTTAGACTGTGGAAAAAGCTGTCAAATGTTTGTAAAGTCATGTAGCCTACACCCATGAAACTTTTATACTTAAAGCTTTACCTTGATTGAATTGTGTTTTTATACTTCATTTTTTAGCTACTGCCACGTTCTTTTTTTTTTTGCCGTGATACCATTGAAAAAATTAACATTAGTTCAAAAATGTACAGTTTTCACCTCTGATATTATAACAGTGATTAAGAATTTAAGTTACTTATTGACTCGGAGGTATGCGGATGTATTTTTGGCGGGAGCTGTTGCCATGGTGAATCATAATTTCGGAGCTCCATTGATCATGGCTTCTCATAGTCGTGGTGCACGCGCTAAACGCAGCCCTTGTCCAAATACCTTAGCCACCGGTCATAGCCACTTAAGAGCGCGTGCGTGCAAGACTGTGCCAGGCCTTATAAACGCCGAAGCACAGTGCCCTTAATGCACACTAAATCCACACTTAGTGTATCCCATCATACATCATGTTCTGCAAATAAATCGTGAGACTTTTTTTTCCGAGACCAATGCATGATAAATATTAATAATAATTAGATATTACATATAATTTGGTAGTAAAACAAAGAATTACATGTTTTATTGGTGCAAATGAGTATTGGTGATATTTATTTTGTACAACATTTGCAACTGCTTTTTATAACTTAATTAGAAGCACCACAAAATTAAATTGTCATCTGTTATAGAGACTACTGAACAGATATTTAGAAGTTGATTTTAAAATGCAAAGTATTTCAAATAAAAATAAAGCTCTGTAGACACTTGCATTTTTACAACACTATATGTCCCATCAGGTAATGAAAAGTTCTTCATGCTCAATTGAACACTTCGCCAAATACAGGAAATACGTCATATAAGTTGTAAAGTGGTCAAGTAGAAAGACCGCAAGCGCGGGTATTTGGATAAGGCATCAGAGTCAACCTACTCAGAGTTGATAGAACGAACTCAATTCAGCTGTTCTGAACCTGAAAACTCAAGAGTTTCCCATCTCAGAGTAAGTCAACTCAGAGTTCAAGTTTCAAGTCAGAGT